ACCTTCCCCAGGGAATGAACAGTGAGGTGGCAGCTGGGCACATAAGATAAGGACACAGAAGTGTCCATCAGGTTTGGCTTCTGGGGAAGATCACTGGCATCTGAGCAAGGGCAGGGTTAGTCCAGTGGGGCATAGGGGTAGAGGCCACCTGCCTGGGAGTGAGGAACAGCCATGAGATAAAGGCGTGGAGTGAAGGAGCACAGGTGGCCCCTTCAACAAGCCTGGCTGGGAAGAGCAGGGAAGTGATAGGCCCGTAGCCAGAAGCTACTACAAGGTGAAATGGGGAATCCTTTATAATTAGGCTTAAGCTTAGGCCCATGTTCTTATAACCAGGTTTTTGCAATGGTACCTGCCACCTCCCAACACTGAAACAACCCTTCTCTCGCTTACTCCTCTTCCAAGGGTTAGAACTGTTAACGCTGACTCCAACCTTGAAGCTGGGACCTTGCAACCCACTGATAAGCTATCTGCACACTGCCTGCCACCTGCCTGGATTTCTGGGTACTCTCTCTGGCTTGCCTACTGCAGGACCGTGCTCTGCTACCCATAGGCTATTTCACTGCACCTCTGTGGACCTCACCCCCTTGCCAACTGTGTGTCTGGACTTTGACTGGAGATTCTGACAAGCAGGGATGATTTGACTGAATCCTAATGTCAGCTCCTATTTCACTTAGTAGCTGGGAGATCCAGGTCCTAGGTTCACCCTTTGACCTTGATTCCACTGTATGCAAACCACCATACTCTGCCAATGTTTGAGATAGTCAACTCTATTTTGATCTAAGCACAACCTACATGAATGTAGCTGACGATATGCCTCACTGAGCGTGTACCAGGGTGGGTACAGACCAATGCAGAGTAACCTGAACAAGTATCCAACTGGAAAACCTTGACTGTATTCACCAATCCCTAGAAGATCAAATTGCTAACAACACATAATAGCAAGTAACAAACCAAGAACATCAAGTTGGCTTGAGAACCGGAGGTGTTAGGAATCTGAGATAGAACAGTAGCCAGCAGAACACCAACAGAGATCAGTGTAAAGGTAGGCATGTCTCCAAGCAAACAACAGATCCAGAGCAATCAGAACTAGGTTAAAATGTCACCAAGAGCCCACTGAAGGGCTGGACTACAGGGGTGAGAACCTATAACTACAACTAACCCATGACTACAACTACCTATGCAGTGATGGAGAGGAAATTAGACTCAACTTATAAATGGAAAATGAAAAATTAATAGCCTTCCATGTTGTGTAAAAATCTCCTAGTAAAATCAGAATGAGCTTCCCTTTATGGTAGGTAAACCTACCACATTTATTTCTGCTTAGGATAAACTATCAGACATGGTATTATTTAATAACAGGATGGCTGGAAGATATCATTTGCACTTGGTTTTGGGGAAATTGTGAGTGATCTGGTCCTTTTTTTTTTAAACAAACCTAGTGAGTATTGTGAATAATAAATGGCATAACATACAAAAGCACTACAGAATAGCAGAGTGCACAGCAAAATAAAAATTGTTTTTAAATATTTAAGTCTGAATAAAATAGTACCAAAAAGTTAATATCCCTCCCTAAAATCTCCCTTTCCCCCCTAAAATGAGTTGTTTGCTCCATCAATCTAACAAAACTTGCCTAAATTTATTACCGGTAGTTCTTTATCTCAGTGGTATCATCCTCTTGGTCATTTTCCAGGTTAGAAAAAGCTACTTGCTTTGTTTTGTTTTGTTTTTTTTCAATAAAAATGTGATTTGAAATGCTGTCTTTGGGTTCACCAGCTCTGTCATTTACTAAATGACATTGGACAAGTTTGCCAATTTCTCCACGCCTGTTTCCTCACTTATAAAATGGGGATAATTCCATTTCTCAGGTCTCTGATGAGAATTAAAAGTGGTAATATGTGTGAAATATTTAGCTCCTGTCATCAGGAGCCTGATGACACAAAAATATGACACATAGTAAGTTCTCAATAAATGGGAGTGATCGTTATTATTGTACTCTAAAACATTCCGGTGACTGGATACACACAAAAAAATGATCATACACAGGACATTCCTTGGGGCAGTATGTGCTAACCAACATGAGTGTTTTAAATACACATTATAGAGGACAGAGATCACTTCTGCTTGGATAAGCAGAGATGGCCACAGAGAAGAAGTGGGAAGGACACTAAGGAATGGTCCCACCTGGAAAGGGAATGGTTCCACCTGGAAAGGTCAAGTTGGGATTGCATGGAGAGGGGAATGTGAGAATATTATGAGAAGTATAACAGGATGCATTGCAGGGAGACCAGAGAGGCAAACTCCCCAAATCTCTCTCCTACCTGCCCCTTGATTCCTGAAATTTCATCATTCTTTCAGGTTAAGACTCTTAAAGGGATACTTGCCTGGAAAAGCTAACACTTGAAGCTACAGCCAGGCATTTATATTTTAGTCTGAGTAAGTAGCAAAAAAAAATTTTTTTGAAAGATTTTGGTAGGAGACACACGGAGGCACTGGCCACCTGAGAGACAGAGAGGAGGCCCGAGTAGGGAGGAAAAGAGAAAGTGAGAGGAACTGTGGCTCCAACAGGCACAGGCACAGGGTGTCTCGGCTGTGTGTGTGATGCACATTACCTACGTTTTCTATCTTGAAGGAAATGGTACAAAATCTACACCACTGCAGGAGAGTTCATGACTTCCTTTGCATTAAATGGCTGACAGTTCTGGCAGGTCTTCATGAGTCACACATTTTAACTTTCCTTCTGGGAAGGAAAGGAAGTCAGACAACCTCCTTTTCCAACACTCATCATGCTGTAGAGCTAATTTTGGGCTTCTCTAATTCAATGCTGCTTATGACTCTCATGCTTATTCCCTGCTTATTCCCTCTACATGCAGCTTCCCAAAGCTATCCCTATATAGGAGCCTTAGGCTATGTAAAGGGGTGGGGAGAATGGAGACGTTTTATGTTGTAAACAACTTCAGCTCTAAATCCATATGGGCATCTCTTTTTTTTTGAGACAGAGTCTCGCTTTGTTGCCCAGGCTAGAGTGAGTGCCATGGCGTCAGCCTAGTTCACAGCAACCTCAAACTCCTGGGCTCAAGCAATCCTCCTGCCTCAGCCTCCCAAGTAGCTGGGACTACAGGCATGCGCCACCATGCCCGGCTAACTTTTTCTATATATTTTTAGTTGGCCAATTAATTTCTTTCTATTTTTAGTAGAGAAAGGGTCTCACTCTTGCTCAGGCTGTTTTCAAACTCCTGACCTTGAGCAATCCTCCTGCCTTGGCCTCCCAGAGTGCTAGGATTTCAGGCGTGAGCCACTGTGCTCAGCCTCTTTTTTTTTTCTTTTTTGAGACAGTCTTGCTCTGTTTCCTAGGCTAGAGTGCTGTGGTGTCAGCCTAGCTCACAGCAACCTCGAACTCCTGGGCTCAAGCAATCTTCTGCCTCAGCCTCCCCAGTAGCTGAGACTACAGGCATGCGCCACCATGCCCGGCTAACTTTTTCTATATATTTTTAGTTGGCTAATTAATTTCTTTCTATTTTTAGTAGAGACAGGGTCTTGCTCTTGCTCAGGCTGGTTTAAAACTCCTAACCATTATACATCTTGAAATCTATCAAAAAAAAAAATTAAAAAAAAAAAATAAAACTCCTAACCTTGAGCAATCCTCCTGCCTTGGCTTCCCAGAGTGCTAGGATTACAGGCGTGAGCCACTGTGCCCAGCCTCTTTTTTTTTCTTTTTTGAGAGAGAGTCTCGCTCTGTTGCCTGGGCTAGAGTGCCGTGGTGTCAGCCTAGCTCACAGCAACCTCAAACTCCTGGGCTCAGGCAATCCTCCTGCCTCAGCCTCCCGAGTAGCTGGGACTACAGGCATGTGCCACCATGCTCGGCTCATTTTTTCTATATATATTAGTTGGCCAATTAATTTCTTTCTGTTTATAGTAGAGACGGGGTCTCACTTTTGCTCAGGCTGGTTTCAAACTCCTGACCTAGAGCAATCCGCCCACCTTGGCCTCCCAGAGTGCTAAGATTACAGGCGTGAGCCACCACGTCCGGCCCCGATCACCATTTTGTAGATGACCACTGGAGCTTATGGGGGTTAAGAACCATGCCCAAGTTACACGGCCAGTAAGTGACAGAGTTCAACTTTGAATCCAGGTCTGGCAGCCTCCAGACGCAGATTGGGTAATTCACGGGGAAGAGATGGGCTTTACAACTAAAGATGGTCACTACCTACATCAAAGAATTACCATTAGGCTTAAATAATAGACTTCTTGGCAATTTCGTCAAAAACTTGTTACTTAAATCCAGAGTATACTTCATAAGAGGAATAGTAAAGTCTCTATTTTTTTTTTTTATTTATTTTTTGAGACAGGGTCTGTCTGTCACCCAGGCTAGCGTGCAGTGGTGTCATTACAGCTCATTGCAACTTCAAACTCCTGGGCTCAAGCAATCCTCCTACATCAGCCTCCTAAGTAGCTGCGACTACAAGCACATGCCACCATGCCTGGCTAATTTTTCTGTTTTTTGTAGAGACAGGGTCTAGCTCTTGCTCATGCTGGTCTCAAAGTCCTGACCTCAAGCAATCCTCCTACCTCAGTCTCCCAGAGTGGTAGGATTATAGGCATGAGCCACCATGCCTGGCCAAAGTCTCTATTTTTATTATCTATAACACACAACAGGCTCATATTGCTATTTTAAAGAACAAAGAAAAAAACAATTCCACTCTCTTTTTGTTGAATCAAGTGTTCCCCTGCTTCTGAATGCATTTTGATGGAGATCAGAAAGGGACCCAAGGGAAAAACAAAAAACAAAGGACCTCCAGGAAACAGCTCTTTGTCATAGAAGGGGAGGCTGTCCTTTGAAGTCTCTCCCCACAGCTTTGCTTAGGTAAGATGTTTTTCTTCCTAAAACAAGGAATCATTCCCAGAGATCTGCTATTGGAAGAGAGAGAAACAAACTATCACATACCTGCGTATCTGCTAATTATTTTTTTTTAAGTTAGTTTGTTTAAAACTCTGCTTATTACCTGGATCCACATCAGAAGAGCAAGGAAAAGAAAGGGATTCCACAGAACTAAAAGCCTCACTGTTGGCCTTTTGGCTGGGTCTCTGTAGGGCATAATCTCTTATGTCACATGCTGATGGCAGGTCCAAAGCATAGCTCTCCTCTGACTGGCTGCTTGGAGTGGCTTCCTGGGATGCCATAGTCCTGCAATGGAAAAAAAATTTTTTTTAATTCAATACCAACGGCACTACATAACAGGAACCTTCATTAGAGCCATAGCTGGAAGATTCTTAAAGATCAAACACCAGTAAAGCTAGAATAATTTACAATAGTCCCCCTTTATCCACAGTTTGCTTACTGCAGTTTCAGTTACTTGCGATGAACTGTGGTTCAAAAATATTAAATGAAAAGTTCAAAAATAAACAATTGATAGGTTTTAAATTGCACACCATTCTAAAGAGCGTGGTGAAACCTCTCACTGCTGTCCCGCGCCATCCTGGATGTGAATCATCCCTCTGTCCGGAGTATGCAGTGTATACACTCCCCGCCCCTTAGTCACTCAGTAGCCACCTCAGATATCAGATTGACTGTGGCAGTTTTGCAGAGCTTGTGTTTAAGTTACCCTTATTTTACTTAATGATGGCCCCAAAGCTCAAGAGTAGTGATGCTGGCAATTTGAATAAGCCAAAGAGAAGCCATAAAGTGCTCCTCCTTTAAGTGACAAGGTGAAAGAGTTCGGCTTAATAAGGAAAGAAAAAATGGTATGTTGAGGTTGCTAAGATCTACCATAAGAACAAATCTTCTATGCATGGAATGGTGAGGAAAGGAAAAGAAGTTCATGCTAGTTTGCTGTTGCACCTCAGACTACAAACGTTATGGCCATGGTGCCTGATAAGTGCTTAGTTAAGATGGAAAAGGCATTAAAGTCATGGGTGGAAGAGATGAACAGAAAAAGTGTTCCGATTCACAGCAACATGTTGCGCCAGAAAGCACAGAGGCTATATGAAGACTTCGGCCAGGGATCCCCTGAAATGAGTGATATCAAGCCACTTAATGGAAACTAAGTGATGATTACATAGACTCAGGAATAGGTTTGGACTGAAAAATATAAAAATTACTAGAGAGGCTGGATTTGCCAATGAAGAAGCTGCTGCCACATTTTGGCAGTGTTGAAGAAATTGATTAAGGAGAAAAGATACCATGCAAAGCCAGTTTTCAATTGCAATGAAATCAGGCTGTTCTGGAAGCTGATCCCCAATAGAACCTACATTCATGAAAGTGCAAAAGAGGCATCAGGCATAAAGCATGGAAGGGCAGATTAACTCAGGTACTGTGTGGCAATGCTGCAAGGCACATGATAAAGCCATGCTAGTGTCCGAGTGAAGGAACCACGTGCTCGCAAAAACAAAAACAAAAATTATCTGCCAACATAATCAGAAAGTGTGGGTGACAGCTATCCTGTTTATGGAATGGTTTCATCAATGCTTCATCCCAGAGTGGGAAAATACTTAGAAAAAGAAGGGTCCGAATTTAAAGTCCTATTATTTATTTATTTATTTTTGAGACAGTCTCACTTTATTGCCCAGGCTAGAGTGAGTGCCATGGCATCAGCCTCGCTCACAGCAACCTCAAACTCCTGGGCTCAAGCAATCCTGCTGCCTCAGCCTCCCCAGTAGCTAGGACTACAGGCATGCACCACCATTGCCCGGCTAATTTTTTCTATATATATCAGATGGCCAATTAATTTCTTTCTATTTATATTAGAGACAGGGTCTCACTCTTGCTCAGGGTGGTTTCGAACTCCTGACCTTGAGCAATCCGCCCGCCTCAGCTTCCCAGAGTGCTAGGATTACAGTCGTGGGCCACCGCACCCAGCCTAAAGTCCTATTAATAATAGACAATGCACATGGCCATTGTGAAGCTGTTTGCTATGAAAATAAATATGCTGAGGTTGTATTTTTACCTCCAAACACAACTTCATTGCTTCAGCCCCTTGACCAGGGTATCATTCTGTGTGTCACGACAACATACACCTGCCTGGTATTTGTGGTATTTGATCGTATTCCATCAGCAATTGATGCAGACCCTAAACTGGACATAATGCAGTGCTGAAACCATTTGCTATTGCTAATGCAATAACATTCATCAAAGCTGCTATGGATGAGTTAAAACCAGAAACTGTAAGTGCCTGCTAGAATTTATGGAGTGGAGTCATGAATGATTTTAAAGGATTCTGGGGATCAATCGAGAAGTTAGCAAAATCATTCACACAGCAAAACAAGTTGGTAGAAAAGGATTTACCAACATGCTTGATGAAGAAATGGAAGAACACATTGAAGGCAGTTGAAAAGTGTTAAATGAGGAATTGGAAAAACTTGTTGAGTCATCTACAGAGGAAGAAGAAGAAGAAGAAATTAGAGCAGACACAGCAATGCAGACATTACCGAAATTTGTCAGTGTTTTGAATTGCACAGAAATTAAAGGACAAAACTATGGCATATGATCCTTGGATGGAACATAGTATTTAAATCACCCATATTATCAATGAAGGATTACAACCTATGCAACAACACTCTGGTGACTTAAAAAGAGACAACAACTTCTAATTATAATGTTCTTCCAAAAGGTTTCAGGAAAAAAAAAAAAACAACTTTCAACCATTGAGAACCCCCTCCATCCATCAATTTTTCTAACATGAGAAAATAAATAAACCAACCCAGTATTTGTTTAGCATGTTTTCTTCATCATGAGAAGGGAACAGTCTCAGCAGAAAGAAACCATTACTAATTTCCGCTGGAAAATAAGCTGCATGTCCGAAAAGGGAAGGGTTCAATCCTGGAGCCCCTCACCCATGAAACACTATGCAGCATATAATTCAAGGGCAACAAGAACATTTGATGAGAAGGGGAAATGTTTATGATATAGTAAATGTAAAAAGCTTTTAAAACAATAAAGTTTGACCCAGATTTTATAAAATAAGATGTCATTTATTTTACATAAAGAAATAAAAATGTATTTATGGTAAGGTGTGTATCACATGCAAGATGTGTGTATGAAAAATATAGAGACATAAAACTAGGGGGGAAATGTCTGGGAGGGTATATCCCAAATTAATTTCAGTGGTTAGCTGGGTAATGTGATTACAGGTGATTTGCATTTTCCTCCACGGCCTACTCAAACATGCCTTCAGTCAATTATTTAACATGCCAGGCCTGGTGCCAGGCACTGGGGACACAAAGGGGAATGTCACATAAACCCTTCCCTCCTAGTTTGGCATGATCCAAACACAGAGACATACCACGTTACCACAGTGAGTTAAAACAGAGAGGAGCCCAGAAGGGACAGTAGGCTTCCTGGAGGAGATTATCCCCACGTGAGGCGAAAAGCATGAACTCAGGGAGAAACACTTGGACAATTACGAGTGGTGTGGGGTGTCTGGAATTTAAAGTGAGTGTCAAGGATTGGTCACATAATTAGTAGAAGGACAAACCCTGTGGCTGCAGCTGCATGGCTGTGGAGCCCTCCCTCCTGTACCCAGCTCTAGGAAGGACAGCAAGCCTGGCTGCTGTCAGCAACTTGGATACAAAAACTCTCCAGCTGATACAAAAACTCTCTGGACACCCCAAAGGTGGCTTACTGGATTCAGTGTTTGAACATTTCTTGTTTAAAACTAGGTGTTTTCTTTGCCTCCCGGAGCCACCTGTGGGGCACTAGATTCCCTACTGGAGGACTCTCTGTAGTGCCTCCAGCCCTGCCTACCTCTCTGTGAAACAACTATGGGCCTGGGGAGATCCTGGACCCTCTGCCTCATAGGTTGCCGTCACCAATAAATCTTATTATAGCTGGCACCAGGTCTCGCAAGTGCCATGGGCCACCATACAACACGCAGAGGAGCTACATGGTCAGATCTGCATCTGACAGTAGACCCACAGACAGGTGAATTTGTATGGCATAAGCCTGGTGACAAGCAATCTCATGAACGACAAGAATTCTTCACTCACCTGCAGTGGTCCAGGTGAGAAAGGAAGAGCAAATGAACTAGGTCAGGGCCCCACAGGTCAAGAGTAGATTAAGAGAGATTAAGAATATATTTAGGGGGCCGGGCGTGGTGGCTCACACCTGTAATCCTAGCACTCTGGGAGGCTGAGTGAGGGTGGATCGTTTGAGCTCAGGAGTTCGAGACCCCATCTCTACAAAAAATAGAAGGAAGTTAATTGGACAGCTAAAAATATATAGAAAAAATTAGCCTGGCATGGTGATGCATGCCTGTAGTCCCAGCTACTCGGAAGGCTGAGGCAGAAGGATTGCTTGAGCCCAGGAGTTTAAGGTTGCTGTGAGCTAGGCTGACTCCACTGACTCCACTCTAGCCCGGGCAACAAAGTCAGACTCTGTCTCAAAAAAAAAAAAAAAAGAAAAGAAAAGAAAAGAATATATTTAGGAACCAAAATGAAAGTAGAACTTAATAACTGAATGGAGAAACGTGTTAAAGAGGAGAAGAGACAGTTTAGGGACTAGGCAGTGTTATTAACTGAGTTAGAGAAGACAGCAGAAGGAATAGCTTTAGGAGGAGGCAATACTCCAAATCAGGGAATCCTATGCAGCAGTTAAAATGATAGTTAGAACTTAAAAGATCTTAAAGACACATGTGTGAATGAAAGAAGGAATTTCAGAATAATACGAGCAGTATATGAATAAGAGTAGTTCCCCATTTACTGAGTGCTTGTTACATGCAGGCATTGTTGTAAGAGCCTCTTCTGCAATAACCCTATGAAGCCTGTTATTATCCTCATTTACAATCAGATCCAGACACAGACAGCAGTCACGTAACTCATCTAGAAGGTTACCAAGCTAGGATGAACCCAGCTTGAAGTCCTCCCAGCCTCCTGGGTCTGCACAGCTTCAATGCTGCAGCCTAAGCTACCAGCTGATTAGTCAAAGATAGGAGATATATAAAAACAAGTCAACAGGAAGGTCTGGCAAAATCCATCTTGTTTGAGGACACCCAGTCACATGCTGTTGTGCACATTCGCTCAGGCAGAGAGTGAGCCAAGGTATCAGCTGATTGCTCCTGAAAGGAGTGGAGTGACCCAGGTTCCCGAAGAAGCAGGAACATCCTGTCTTTTCACACGTTCCATATTAGCCAACCAAGCCAGAAGTTTCAGCAAACACCTCTGTGGCAGGCACCTTTGGTTCTCCCTTCTCCTTTCATGTTACCTAACACTCTGCTCTGGAGGCTTCCAGAAGGGAACAAACAGGTCAATGAATGATATTGGCATATCCTGCCTGCCTGCAAAGGTGCCTTGAAACCAACCATCAACTGAGAGTGTTGTTAGTGCTGTGAAATGAAAGAAATTCTTTTTTAAAAAAATATATTTAATATTTTATTTTAAAATTATTAATTTTACTTACTTTCTTCTATTCAAACATTTCCGCCAGGTAGAGAAAGGAATTCTTTTTGAAAACAAATAGCACATTGACGTGATACCTCTCTTTTCTTTGTTTTTAGAATCACTTATATCAAATGCCAAATGCATTCCAAACTGGGCGCTGGACCAAAAAAATGATGAGAAAAAAAAACAAACGCTTACTTAAAATAAGTCTTTGTGCATGTAAAATGCATTATCTGGGACTCAATGAATTTGTATAGAAGAAAGCAAGCAATGGGGGCAGATGAAACCCTTCTTATGGTCTGAAACACCCTGGGCTAGCAAGTAGAATGCAATCATTATCCTTTGCCCCATTATCCTTTGTGGTTCAACTTCCTTCCCAGAAGTCCTTATTTTCCTCTCTTAAAAGTGCTTTAATTACACAATTTAAATACTCTTTTTCAACACTGGAGAGTCTCAAATGCCCTGGGATTGTAGACACAAGAAGTCTCTAAGTACAGTTCATAAAAACCTGCTTACCAGGAGGCAGCCAATCTTCTATGACTCTGCAGATTCTTACAGACCTAGAAATACAAGTCAATCAAGGTCATATAAGAAGTAAGTTAACTTCCTCTACTTTTCTTCAATTAAGGCACTTCCCTCCCAATATATAACATGAAAATTTTCAAACATAAAGAAAAGCATAAAGAATTACACAGTGAACATCCTATAGCTACCACGAAGACTCCCCAATTAACATTTTGCTATGATTGGCTTCATTACATAACTACCCATCTATCCAACTCTCTATTCATCGTCCAATGTATCTTATTTTTGAAATACATATATTTCCACTTAAATCCTAATATAATGAAGGCTTCTCAGCTGGGGTGTGAGATGACCACTTTGCATTTTTAAAAACTCATTCTCTTAACTGAGGGAAGCACAAATTGGAGGATCCAGAATGTCTCCAGAGTTAAACAGCATAAGGTTTGAGCTTCTGCCATCACTTTTGAGCTGTGTCACCTTGGGCAAGACACCCTCAGTTTCCTTATCTATAAAAATACTTGATGATAATGTACTTACCTCATAGAGTTGTCATAAGAATGATATAAAATTAGTGCATGTAAGGTATTTAGTATAGTATCTATAGTTCTAATAAGTGAAACAGTAATAACTAAAAAAGAAATTACAGGCTCCTATCTTCCCAGCCTGCCTCTAGTCCATTTGCCCCTCTGTTTCCTACCTAATAGTCATCTTGCTTCTCTCATCCTTATCCAGTATATTCTATGGTCCATAATTTTGTTAACATCCTAAACTCCCCTCCTCTGCCCATTTTGTCTTTTCTTCACACCCCTTTGTCAAAACCCCAGTCTAGATGAACCCGCTGGCCTCCCCACCCTCCATGTGAGATTGACCAAACAGGGCAGCTTGGCTCTGCTCTACCTCTACAGTCCCCAACCAAGCCATGCATCACCGCCTGTGATCCATGAAACTGGTCCCTGGAGCCAAAAAGGTTGGGAACCACTGCAGATGGATGAGCACCAACCTGGATCCAACCAGCTGGCCAAATGGATACTGAGATGTTTATCTCATAACTGCCTCTCTCCCTCCGTGGCCTGAAGTTTCAGCAAACACCTTTGGTTCCTGCTTCTCCCTTTGTGTTACCTAACCCCTCTGCTCCAGAGGCTTCTGGAAGGGAACAACATGTTTTCTCTACTTTTCTTCAACTCAGACCCTCCCCCAACACTCAGGCACCTTGCTCCTCTTTTTCAGTAGATCATCTCCGTTCTTAATGGACAAAGGAAACAGAAACCAGCAGGGAGGAAGGTCCTCAACTCCCCTATCAGACACAACAAAGGCTCCCACAGGGGCACACCTTCACCGACCCTTAAAACAGAGATGCCATCCTGCCCTTGGTGAAAGCCAACCCCTCCACCCCCCCCACACACACACGGGCTTTAGATCCCACCCTGTGGACCTTTCCAGAAGCCTTCAGCAAGAACAATCCCTTCTCTCTCTTCTGTTCCACTGGACCCTTCACTGAGGCTTTTCAACATACCCAAATCTCTCCCATTTTCAAAAAAACATAGTGTGTAAGAGAATGTTCTTTGAAAATGCCACTGAAACATTTAATGGTAAGGGGACATGATGTCTGTGATATACTCTCAAATGGTTATACACGGGCGGGGGGGGGGAGGGAGAGAGAGGAAGTCGTCAATAAAGAAAACAAAAATCTTTGACACCTGCTCTCCCCACAGCCAGTCTCTTCTCCTCTCCACAAACTTCTCAGAAGAGCCTACAATTGGCTCATTTCCTCAATTCCAATTCAATCACTACACTGTAGAACTCCCAGAAACTCCTTCTTCTAACACTCCTTTTCTTTTCAAGATGTCACTCTCCTGATTGTCCTCCCACCTCTTTGCCTGTTTCTATCCTCCATCTTTCGCTGGTCATCCTCGAGGCTTGGCCCAAAGCTCACTCCTTTCCTTTCCTCCTCTGAGACATTAATTACCACCCAGAAACTTCTCTCTAGCCCACATCCCCCAGCCTCAGGCCCCCATGCTTTCCCTGCTTCAAGCACAATGTCTTTCCTCCAGGTTCTCTAGTAAGCACTGCTTCCTCCCACAAAGTGTTGGAAGAAATTAAAGATCTAAAGGAATAGAAAAGCATCCCATGTTCATGGATTAGAAGACTTAACATTTTAAGTTGCCAATATTCCCCAAATTGACCTAAAGATCATTGCAATTTTTATCAATATTCCAGTTTGCTTTTTCTGCAGACATTGACAAAAGTGCTCCATAAACTCATATGGAAATGTAAAGGACTCACAATAGCCAAAACAATCTTGGGAAAAAAAGAACAAAGTTGGAGGACTCATATTTTCTGATTTCAGAACTTACTACAAAACTACAGTAAATCAATACTGGGTAGTACAAGAGTTCTATGATGAGCAGGCCTATGCAAACCTACCCCTAAAGTCCAAGGAAGCTGAGAGGCCAAAGAAAGAGGTTTTCACACCAGCTTCTCAGAAAGAAACATCTAATAGAAACTTATGAACAAAATCCACACCCTGGGCAGTGACCAGATGAGATGGTGGATTCCCCCTCCCCATTATCCCACCAGACTCAGGACTTACAGACCTTAGGGAAGCAATGTGTAGGAAAATTGAAGTCTACCTTTCAGGGAAAAGCAAGAATGCTAAGTGAATCTGGGTAGGACTTCTAGTCAAGGCTGTATTGACCTAAGGGCAGGATTTAGGTAATAGTAGATAAAGTAGAAATCTTAGAGGCATTCCTGGAAACAGGTTGATCATAAGTCCAACATGGCAGATTAGCATCCAACAGGCATAAGGATAGACATATAGACCAATGGACTATAATAGCACATCTAAAAGTAAAATTTTACATTTATGGTCAATTGATTTTCCACAAGGTGCCAAGACAGTTCAATGGGAAAGCGTAGTCTTTTCAACACTGGGACATCTAGATATCCACATACAAATAAGTATGCAGGCACTTTGGAAAACAGTTTAGCAGTTCCTCAAAAGGTTAAATATGGAATTACAATTGCCCTGGCAATTCCATTCCTAGGCATATGCTCAAGAGAAATAAAAATATATGTAAGTAGCATTCATCAGGTGTTGGGGAGGGAGGAGGAAGGGGGGAGTAGGAGATGGGTAAATTCACACCTAACGGGTATGGTACACACTGGGGATAGGCCCATTTGTAGCTATGATTCCAATGATGCAAAGGCAATATATGTAACCTCAACGTTTGTACCCCCTTAATATTTTTGAAATTAAAAAAAAGTGTCAGCCGGGTGCGGTGTCTCACGCCTGTAATCCTAGCACTCTGGGAGGCCGAGGCGGGAGGATCCCTCAAGGTCAGGAGTTTGAAACCAGCCTGAGCAAGATCCAGACCCGTCTCTACTAAAAATAGAAAGAAATTAATTGGACAACTGAAAATATATAGAAAAAATTAGTTGGGCATGGTGGCGCATGCCTGTAGTCCCAGCTAATTGAGATGCTGAAGCAGAAGGATTGCTTGAGCCAGGAGTTTGAGGTTGCTGTGAGCTAGGCTGGCGCCACTGCACTCTAGCCCCGGCAACAAAGTGAGACTCTGTCTCAAAAAAAAATTGTCCACACAATAACTTTACACAAATGTTGACAGCAGCTTTGTTCATAATAGCCAAAAAGTGAAAGTAATCAAAATATCTATCAACTAATCAATAGATAAAATATGGCATATGCAAGCAATAGAATATTTTCTTTTTTTGTTACCCCTGGTAGAATGTGTGACATCAGCCTAGCTCACAGCAACCTCAAACTCCTGGACTCAAGCGATTCTCCTGCCTCCGCCTCCCCAGTAGCTGGGATTACCAGCATGCACCACCCCCTCCGCTAATTTTTTTATTTTTTAGTAGAAATCAGGTCTCACTCTTGCTCAGCCTGATCTCGAACTCCGGACCTCAAGTGATAGTCCCGCCTCGGCCCCCCAGAGTTCTAGGATTACAGGCCTGAGCCACCGCACCTGGCCCATAGAAGATTTTTCAACAATAAAGGAATGTGGTTCTGACACATGATACAAGGGCAAGCTCTGAGAACATTATCCATAGTGAAAGAAACTAGTCACAAAAACTTTGAAAATATACTTAATGAAAGAAATCAGTCACATATTGTATGATTTCACTCATAGCAAATGTGCAAATTGGTATCTATAGGGATAGGAAGTAGACTAGTAATTGCTTAGGATTGGGGGGTCGCGGTGAATGGAGACTGACTGCTACAGGGTGCAGGGTTTTTCTTTGGGGAGATGAAAATATTCTAAAATTAGATTGCGGTGATGAAAGCACAATTCTGTGAACATACAAAAAAAAATCCCACTTAATTTACCCTTTAAAGAAGGAAATTTTATGGTGTGTGAATACGAATTCTCAAAGAAAGTTGTTTTTAAAAAAAGAAGAACGAAGCTCACGCAGACCCACTGCCTGCAAATTCCGGCGATTCCCCAAAGCAGAGGCTGCAGAGGCCGCGTGTTGGGGCGGAGGGGGTGAGGGACCAGCGGGAAATGGTAACGTGCCGGAAGAAGCCGCCCCAACTTCCCAAAGGTGAGAACTGATCGGACGCTTTACTGCGACCCCCGCCCCCGCCCCAAGTCATTCCTGAGTCGACGCAGAAAACTGACGAGAAAATCCGCCGACCCCCGTTAACACTCACCTTCCAGAAGCAGCAAGAGCCCGGAACCCGGAAGCGCAGGTGCCATCTTTGTTATGGGAAAAGCGAGGTTTGAAAGAAAAATCACCGGAACCATCCTTGATGTGGGCAGGCAAGGGCCATGGAAGGCAACCGCGGCCATCTTTACTGAGGACATTTGCCCACCCAAGGAAGCTAGTCGCAATTTGAGCAATTTCTAGAGGAGGCTTATCGACATTAAGGACACGTCAAAAATATTTTTAAATTTCGAAAATTTATTAGTTTGTTTTTCAGCTTCCCATTGGCCAAACACATAAAAAGTTAAATGTCTACATTAAAAGTAGAAAGAAATTGGCCGGGCGCGGTGGCTCACGCCTGTAATCCTAGCTCTCTGGGAGGCCGAGGCGGGTGGATTGCTCGAGGTCAGGAGTTCGAAACCAGCCTGAGCAAGAGCGAGACCCCGTCTCTACTATAAATAGAAAAAATTAGCCGGGCATGGTGGCGCATGCCTGTAGTCCCAGCTACTTGGGAGGCTGAGGCAGAAGGATTGCTTGAGCCCAGGAGATTGAGGTTGCTGTGAGCTAGGCTGATGCCACGGCACTCACTCTAGCCTGGGCAACAAAGCAAGACTCTGTCTCAAAAAAAAAAAAAAAAAAAAAAAGTAGAAAGAAATTAACAGAGGATGAAAATATTTTAATATATTAGCTTATGCAGGTAGGTACACAACTGCCAGAATTTCAGGACCACAAAAAAGAAACTGTCAAAAGACAAACATACTACAAATTTAGATTAAAGATCTATCTAATTGGTTTTTATGTGCAGTTCTAGAATCAGGTAACACCTCATTCTCATAAAAATAGGATGAGTGTTCCTATGAGCTAAGCAGAAATGCTTGGCTTTATAAGCAAAAAAGTGCTGAAGAAAGCAAAAAAAGACAGCAAAAAGCAGATTTATCTTTTCAAAGTTACTTTCTTTACAGGGTTAAAACAGAGGAAACTTCCCTATTTCATGTACTCAGGTTGACTGGAATCTCCGGATATTTTTTTTAACTGGCTCATTTCAAAGTTCAGCTTGATTACACAGCACTTAGCACAAGTGACTCCATTCTGCTTTGGTTTGATCTTCCGGGGTAGTGCAGGAGGCCAGTCCAAAACAATGGACTCCCATAAACTTTGTTTAAAAAGATTAAGATCTATTTTCTCATTTCACCATTCTTGAAAGAGTAGTATATGCTCATAGCCTCCTACAGATGCCTATGTTGGGATAAGACCCCACAAATTAGGAACCCTGCACTTAAGATGAATATTTTAAATAATACTACCTGGGGTTTGGCCAACTTCATGCCAGATTCTGTGAACTTAAGACAGCTTGGGAAATATAGTGGCCTTTAAAGGAAAATGTAAGAACACAATGAGAAGTAAAACTAACTTTCCTTCACCTTCAGGCAACTTAACAGAGCAACTGTAAATTTCATTTTCTCTACCAGCTTTATGCATAGTTATCAAAGTGTCTGATTCCAATTTTCACTTTGTTTTTAGTGATGAGCAGTCACACTGAATCACTTTTAAAAATGTAGTATATCTCATAAAAACAGCCTTCCAAAAGTAACATAATAGATTGTGATTAGAGAAAACCTGGAATGACATTATGTTACTTACCTGTTAAGAAACAAACAGAAAATTACAAACTCAAATTCAATTATTTGAATGAAATTTACTATCTGGATTAGTATGCAGCCATTAAAAATGATAAAAGATTTAGCAAAAGAAAATCTTGAATCATTCATTGCATCTCCAGTTCTCATGTGTATTTAGTGTCCTATAATCTCAATTTCTCAATCACTTTTTGTATCTTGGCGTTTACATCTTTGAAGAGCATAGGGTAGTTATTTTGTAAAATGTTCCTCAATTTGAGTTTGACCCTTCCACCTGGTTCTCAATGGTTTTTAACATTGTTGATCACTCCCTCCCTCCCAAAAGCTCTTGTCCCTTGGTTTCCCTAATACCATCCTCTCCTGGTTTTCCTTTTTCCTTTCTGAAAACTGCATCTAAATCTCCTTCACATTCTTCTGTCTCTTCAATGTGAACCTTTCTCAGGATTGTCTTAAATATTTTTCTCTTCTTTTGTTACCTTTTCTATGCAGATGATTCCCAACCCTCTCACCCCATATTCATCCTGAGATTGAGGTCAACAGATCCTCCAGCCACCTTAAACTCAACCTGCCCCCACAGAAAACCCAGCATTTCCCCCACCTGTCAATCCACCTGCCCCTATGCCACTATTCTCTGTGGCAGTGAGTTGGCCTATTTATTTGCCAAAGCCAGAAACCTCTTCTCTTCCTTTGCCATCTCCTTCCATATCCTGTCCCATTGATTCTTTCTTTTAAACATCTCCTATCTCTTGGTTTTCTCCATCCTCACTGAAATGGGAGTACAGCCCACCATAGTCTGCCACCTAGATGACAACAGCTTCACAATTGTCTACCCACCTCCCTCACAATCTAAGTTATCTTTTTAAAATGAAATTTTGATCACACCACTCCCCCGCCCTCAGGCTGAAGCTCAAACTTCTTTCCCTCCCCGCCCCCACTGATTATGCAGAGGAACAAACTTCTTAATGAGATTTAGAGGGTCCCTACCCTATCTCCCATCACTGTCCCCAACTCTCCAGCTATACTCTATTTTTCTTTTCCTTAAATATTCTGTGATTGTCCTCTCTCATCTTTGAGCTTTTCCCCCCCACACAATTTCCTCCCTTAGGAACACTCTTCTCTCTTCTTTGGCTCTTTATCATGCTTCAGATCTGTTTTAGAGAATTGTTCCTCCTGAAACCTTCTCTGACTTATCTAATAGGAGTTAGTTGCCCCTCCCAGGAATGTTCACTTTCTACTATTTACCCAGATTACTTTAAATTCCTTTGCCCTTTCTGTTTTCCCCTGCAAAACTATGTCTCAGGGCAAGGACCATGTTTATCTTTTTCATGCTATATTCCAGAACCCAACTCAATGGTTCATATCCAAGTGTCCAGAAAGTGCTATTATTATACACAAGAATGAATAAGTCTCTTCCCAGGTCTTCCCCATTCTCCATTTCCCATCCACACCCCATTCAATCCTTAACACCCTCAAAAAATCTCAATAACATGACTTATTCATGACCTATTATCAGTGAAACCAATCTTGGAGACTTTACCATTGTTACCTTTGCTTGAAAAAAAATTTGTGTATAAGTTAACTCTCACGTATTCTTCTGTGTTTTTCCCATGACAAGGTTTATCTTTACAATGGGCTTCCTAGAGCAAATTTCGAAAGCCTAGAGTGACTTTCTTTGTTATATAGCATGCCTCTGACCATCCTCTCTTACCACTTTCAGTTTGTCAGTGCAGAAGAAATGAAAACTAATTGAAGTAGTCATCAAAATAAAATCTTACCTCTGCAGAGATGGCAAAATAGAGCTTATTGCATTCTGAAAGTAAAGCATAAGTTATTTTGGAGTCCCCACTGTTTTGCTATTGATTATATAATGGCTGTATAAATTGGATTATGTCACAATTTGAAGCTCTTTATATTTCCGTAATTTTCTGCTATCAGCTAAGCCAGCTACTTCAGCCAAATCTCTTTCAACAGAAAGAAGTCATTTTAGTTGAAAAACCAAAATAGCTCTTTCAAAGTGAGATGATGTTGTTTGCAATTATCTTATCTTTCTTGGTCATTCTGAACCTTGATCTAATTACTTTCTCATCTGGTGACTTGGCCTTAAGAAAGAAGAAAGAAAACATCACAAAAGTTCAAGTAATTAATGAGTCTCAAGACATCTTATTGCTTTTTCAATCATACAGCATTCTAAAGTCACAATTTAGCAATAAATTAACAACCAAGGCAAAAATATCAGATAGTCTATAAGCTCCCTGACTAGACTGGAAGATCCATGAGGGTGAAACTGTGGGTTTTATTTGCCAACAAATACCCAGTATCTGAACAGTGTCTCACTCAGTAACTTCTTATATATTTATAATGAACATAGGCTTGGACCATAAGAACTAAAAATCAGTACTAGCACAATGTTGAGCAAATGGTAAAGACTTTAAAAATACTACTTGATGGAGGGGGGGGAATAAAAAAAATAAAAAATAAAAATACTACTTGATGAACATCCCATGATGCTAGGAAAAAAGAGTCCATTTCTTGGTAACTCAAGTATGTGAGGGCTTAATAAATAGCATGCCATTTCATGGTTCTAAGGACAGACACATCTATCTGGCGGATGGCCAGAGCCACCCTCAACTGCCACAATGAAAAGTGAAGCTGCAAGTGCTGTGACTGTGTGGTCAGGAGGGCTGGGCTTGATTGAAACGTGGCTTTCTTACTAACTGATTGTATGACTGTAGCCATTTAACCCCTTAATTTTCTATCTGTAAAAAGGGAACAATAAATGCATTTGAGGACTATTTATCTTTTTTTATCTTTTTTTTGGAGACAGAGTATCACTCTGTTGCCCCGGCCAGAGTGCCATGACATCAGCCTAGCACACAGCAACCTCAAACTCCTGGCTCAAGCAATCCTTCTGCCTCAGCTTCCCAAGTAGCTGGGACTACAGGCATGTGCCACCATGCCCAGCTAATTTTTTCTATATATTTTTAGTTGTCCAGTTAATTTCTTTCTATTTTTAGTAGAGAAGGGGTCTCACTCTTGCTCAGGCTGGTTTCAAACTCCTGACCTTGAGGGATCCTCCTGCCTCGGCCTCCCAGAGTGCTAGGATTACAGGCGTGACCCACCATGCCCAGCCGAGGACTATTTAAAAAAAAAACAAAAAACAAAAAAACATTGCTTGATGGAGTAAATGACAGACTGACTGACGGCCACCAATTCTAAATTCATTTTCCTCCCAAATTAATGGCTTCAACAATGCCAGAAGTAATGAAAGTATTGCATGTCAGCAGAAAACAAATGCAATTGGAAGAGGCTTCAGCCATCAGTATTTAGATACTTCTGAATATTAAAGAATCATTTGATTCTTATATGTTTATTGGAATGTGAAATATCAAGTCTTAGGAGAACCACAGCAAAGCTTAGAAATCATCAGGTGCCTGTAAT